TTTTAAAAAATAAAATAATTTGACATATTTAGGATAAAAAAATTAGGGAGATTCTGTTCTTATTCGATTCTTCGATTCTTGATTTAGAACTCAAAACCGAATCAAACACGTTGGTTCTCAATTCAAATACCCGTTTGGGTATTTAACTTTAGAAGAACCGCTCGATTCGGTTCGGTCAAATCCGGTTCGAAAGTTTTGCCCAACCCTACTAAACATCGCACAATGTATATAAATGAGTGACAATGAAAATTAAATACAAGATTTTCGCTTCAATTGAAAAGTCAATTTTTTTAAAAAGAAAGTATAAACTTATTCAATTATTTTGTCCATAATGCATTCGCATAATTTTTGAAATGGTCTATACATACGTAAGTGTGTTGATTAATTCTATACAAAACTCAAATCATTACCGGCCACTAAATTCTTATTTTATAATTAGCTCAAAGTCATCTGTAACATTGTTTAGCTCTTGCTCTTGCAGGTTGCAGGCCTTAATTTTATTTTTCTTTCCACTATTTACGAATAAAACGTCACAAAAAAAAAAAAAAATCTATTTACTTACACAAAAATTGCAACCAATTTTATATTTTTTGTAATTTTTTAATTGCATAATTAGAAATTAGAATTAACAATATTAATAAGAATAAAAAGTAATTTTTTTTTATCAATTCCTCGAATTTATTTTATAATACTATTTAGGAAATACATTTATAAAATTTTCTTGTTAGCCGCCTGGATTAAATATGAAAATGCTGACTCAGCCGAAATTTTAAATTATTGCAATTTCAATATAATTCCTAACCTGTCAACCATAACGTGCCAATATGACTCTTATCTATACTTTGACGATTTCGCCATATATAATGAGAAAGGAATTAAGGAAAGTATATTCTTATTGACAGTCAATTGAATCACTTATAAGTTTAAATAACTTTCTTTTTTTAACACTGTTCAATAAAAAATATATTTATTTTTAACTATAAAAATATTTAAGATGTATATTTGATAAATCAACCACATTAGGTGGCCCAATTATTAATAATGAAAAAAAGAAAGGGGACTAGATCGGACCTCCGAAAATATAGTATTAAAAAATAATAAAGACGTGAAGTACAATATAAAGATAATGAATACATAAATCACATTCGACTTTTGCTTATCGTGAATGTTACAAGGTATTCAGTAAATTCATCAAGTACGAAATTGTTGTTCGAA